AATGATATCAGCGAAACTGAGTGAAAAAAATATGCTGAACAAACAGAAACAAAGTAAACGTAGAACCTCGTATACAATTGCATCCCTTCAAGTTGCCACAAATCACAGTAGTATACAAAGAACATGTAGATAGAAAAAGTGATATCAAATTAGATAAAGTTGTGCGACAGAATAAACAGTCTGAAAATTAATGTTAATGAGAATATTCAAGCTTTATAAGACGTCAAGGAATGAATACGTCTGGGCTATCCTGACTGATTTTCAGCTATATCACTAAGACTTGTCAAACACTCATTCCAATCATCACGGGGACCCCAGCCAGCCAGTCTACATCTCCTCACACAACTCAAACTAACAGTCAGAGGCATCATCGACTAGTGCCACGTCTTCGTCTGACCATCCTGAACCCTCTTCCAACTTTATCACCCCCCCTAATGGCACTACACCTCAAGGAAGGCGGTGGACTCGGCATGCACAGTGGGTGTCCAACCCACCTCAGCTGACTGAGGTTCACAACCTCATCAATCGACTTGCTTTTCTTGCCTAGTAACCTTCGCCTGACCTCAACATTGCTCGTACGGTGATTCCACTATGGGGCTAATGATGCCTCTAACATACCTAAATGCTGAAAATGCATTTTTCCGACAAGTCAATCCACAAGTGTTTATTAAGGACTGAACATAAAGAATAAGGACATGATGAAAGCAGTTTAAAGCAACGTGTTTACGACAATCTTATGAGTACTGCACATGTGCTTTCCCTGCAACAGTCGACCTATCGCAAAAAACCTAAAGAACAGACATCTACATTAGTTCCTACGTAGGGAAAAACGTGATGCAATTATTAGTAACAATAGTGATAATAATAGTGTCTAAAGAATAAAACCAACCCAATCCAGAACAACAGACATAATGAACTGGTAACCACCTCTAGTCGTTCCCCACAGCCTACTTCAGATAACAAAGCGTTCAGTAATCCGATGCACGTTTGTGCAATAGAAAATGAATCACACTTATTGTGTGCGGGTTAATAATACTAACTGGCTACCCAAATCTCGGCAGGTGGCACGGGATCCTAACCCGAAGTCCAGAGGTTGAAAGTTAATTGTCTAAACCAATGAGCCACGCCACACGATAGATACCCAATTATGTCAGATTATGATTTCAAAACACGAGAACAGTCCTTGTTCTCCTCGTCACTATATTTTCTATACATGCAATAATGATGCTTTGATGCCCAGAAAGAATAAACAACAAGGAACTCTGGCTGGCGACGAACCAAACAAGAACCCATCGCCCAACGAATATGCAGAAGAAAGTGGAAATGGATTGGGCATGCGCTGAGATAACTATTCGGAGACATCATACGCCTGGCCTTCGAGTGGAATCCAAAGGGGAAACAACGAGTTGGGCGAGGGTGACATGGAGATCGTGCGAGGAAGAAATGAAAGGTTATGGGCAGTCGTGGAGCCAGGTTGAAGACTGCAGAGAACAGAGTGCAATGGAGACGTGCTACTGAAACCCTACGTTCCACTAGGAACCCAGAGGACAAATGATAATGCTTTATGACGACTCGTGGGAGAGAACATTATGGCCACAACTAGCATAGATTTTACATTGCAACCCATCAATTCTGGGCAGATTTTTGCACTAAGTGGAAGAGGATGGATGGTTGCTTTCAGGTCAAAGTAAGCGGAGTGAACACTGACATATGCAATGCTAAAACTTGACAAAAAGTTCACAACAGTATCACTGAAGTCCATTATACTTCCATTTGTAGTAGTTTACCACAGTGCAGAGAAATGTATAGTTAGTAGAATGGAAGTGAAATTATAACACAAATATTTAAGGCCACGAAATGTAAAATCATGAAGCAAATGCATCTGCACCAATGAGAACGATATGGACCCGTCAAATACATGTACTGGTAGTCCAGAACGTTTCTTCTCATTCCGGACTCATCAGCTAGATTTCTCGGCACACCAGTGAGTGACGTTGTCCCCACATAGACTCGAACTCAGCACCCAACATTTCAGGTACCAGTCTTAGCCACTAAGTCAATGGGACACAATAGTCACTCCCACAACGGGTGTCAATTGCTGTCCACTGATACTTACAGTTCCCCGTTGCTACACTGCGTCGAACCTCTCGACCCCCAATGTATTACGCCTTCAAGTGATGGGTATGAGGTCCGAGTCTCAGTGTGAGCAACGTCACTCACCAGGGTGCTGGTACGTCCAGCTGTCAGGCCCCAAAAAAGACGAGACGCGCACTCTACATTGAACTGCCAGTCACCAGGCAGACCAGATCATTCTTGGTCGGTTGTTCATGGACAGCTTTACAGAGGTCAATCTCCAGTCATCTGATTTCATAGGGTTTGACCTAGTCACAATGAGATTTTGGGTAGACCTGTAATTCGCGGATAACAGTCCTGTTAGGTGAAGACGCTGACAAGATGCAGTCTTCTAGACACCTTGAGTTGCAACTTGAGGGTGTCTGAGATGCATTTCTCGCCACCTAAATGCAAATTGTTGCTTCAGGACTAGTCTTCAACGGTACCCTGGCTGACAATAGAGAGTGAAGTGGCTGAGCGCGTTGAACACTTCACTTACTCGGAAAGTCGGATCAGCCCTGGTGCATTGAACAGTGACCAATGAAATTTCTGCATAGATAAAAAAAGCTCAGCTGGATTTTGCCAACTTACACCACCTGCGGCGCCGCTACGATATTCGATTGTCTATCAAGGATCGACTGTACTGTGCTGTAGTTCGCTCTGTTTTACTGTATGGCTGTGAAACATGGCCATTAAATGTAGAAGACATGAGAAGGCTTCAGGTGTTCGACCATCACTGCCTTCGTAGCATAAGCCGTGATTCGTGGTTTCGGCATGTGAGTGACGCAGAAGTCAGGTGTAGAGTTTTAGACAAGAGAGGTAAGTGAATTGACACGGTTGTGAACCTTCATCGACTGAGATGGTAGGTTGGGACATGTGTTACGAATGCCTAGCCACCGTCTGCCTGGTCGCACAATGTTGACTAAAGTAGGTTCAGACTGGAAAAAGGCTCGGGTTGGCCAGACTGAAATATGGCATGAATGCATGAAGTTTTTGAGTGTTGGTTTGAGCCATGTGGGGGTGGGGTGGTGTGGGGTGATGCAGACTATGTAGGTGGTTACTGTGGGCGGGAGAAGAGAAACCAGTGGTTGGAGACAGTATGTGATATGACTCAGAACCGATATCGGTTTCGGAGATGCGTGCACACACTAACATAACGTTAACCGTTATACTTAATTTAATTATCTTCTCGTTCTTCTTTCCTCTCTTTCACTACTTTCTCCAATCGATTTTTCCTTCTTTGCTTTTCATTTTATTGCCTTGTTACTTGATGTGCTGATATGTGATGAGGTGTGGCAACCTGGACCGTTACATAGTAGTAATGCCTGGTCCTACGTTGATCTTGATGTAGGAAAGAGCTGAGTATCATTGGTTTTATAAACTTACGCTGATTTCAATGCAGATTTCAAATGTTGTAGTCTTGATCTTGAGGATGTTAGTTGATAGAGCACGGAATGAGAGTGTTGAGGAGCACATAGCGAGGATATCTGCCTTATGGTGACTTGATGAGTAAACGTGAGAAAATAAATAAAACTGTTTAAACCTAGGTCATGGTGTAACTGTTGCGTGCCACTCTCACATAACCCTAGACAATAAATCCTCGCTGGAACTCACAAAAATCGGATGGGACAGTTTAAATTAGGCCATATGAATAAGAAAGATACATCGAGATGAAACAGTAAATGAGGAATTTAAGCGAAGAAAAATTGTTCAACAACCATGCTAGTAGAAAAATTAAAAAATCGATAACCGGGGATGCTTGATACCACAACTGCAGTACCTTTCAGTTTTAATTGATTTGAATCATGAAAGAAGAACTGTTACAGTACAGGAAATTGGTGTCCACCTAGACTAGTAAAGGCAAATAGATGTCAACTCAAAACGACGACCCTCTTGTGTGGTGCCGATGCGACTGGCTTGCGTAAGAATAAGTTAAGGAGAACTGTGTCTGCATCCCCGCAATTTATCATACATCACACAAAGAACAGGCGGATAGAAAAAGTGATATCAAAGTACACAAAGTTGTGTAGCAGAATAAACAATCTGAAGATAAAGGTTAGTGCGAATATCCAAACTTTAAAAGATGTCAAGGAGTGAACATATCTGCAATATTCTGACTGATTTTCAGCCATTTCACCGAGTTCTCACCCACCCGTTCCTATCGTCTCAGAGACACCAGCGAGGTACCCTTCATCTCCCATCACGATTCAGACTAACAACATGGGACTTAATCGACTGGTGTTACAGCTTTTTCTGATAACCCTGAATCCTCTTCTAACCTAATCCAAATTCCACAACCAGTCTTGCATGTCAAGGTAGGCTCGACATGGATAGTGAGCATCCAAGACATCTCAGTTGGTCAAAGTTTACAAACTTATCAATCGACTTGTTTAGTAACCTTTAACTGACCTCAACTTTACTCACACGTCCGTAGCAATCCATCGAATGACGTGGTGATTCCTAATCTTCATTGCCTTTTTTTTACAATTTAATCTTCCAGCTGAGACCTACACAGACAAGTGTCAGAGAGGATGCATAAGCGACGTTTACACGTTTCAGCAACTTGGTGGAGTAGAGAATCAAAGGCTTGAAGTGTGGTGATAAGTAAACTAATGTTCAAACTATGTCGCTGTATCGTAAACCAAGCTAGACTGATTCCATTTCTGATACTCACTACTATGGAATTTCAATCTACTAGTGTCCAAATTCCACTCCTGTATTCAGCTAGACTGATGTGAACCACTTAGATACTTCGTGATTGTATGAATGGCGTCCACTGAAACGTAAGTCACCAACATAGACTCTGTCAAATCATTGTTATTGTTATTTGCTTCAGAAATGAAGTCAAAACGAAGATCTCGAGTCTCCAAGCACATAACCAAACTTACTGAACTATATGCATCCTCATTCATTTTTCCACCAAACTGCTGTGACTTGAAGTAACCAGTTGCATTGTTATCCATATGGCCAAATGATCGATGCATAGAGTCGTGATTAATATTATCCTCTGGTGTATTTACAATTGCACAGATTCCATTCTCAAGTTTATTTGACTTGTACGTCCTTCGGATAGTTACTTTGAGGGAATGGAAATTCTGATCGATATTCCCATTCATTTGAAATCGTGTTTCACGTTTCCCCTTTTTGCGTACCTTCCTGTGGTTGATATACCGTCCAGACTTAGATGTATCCTGAGATGAATTTAGACCAGTCACTTGGCCATGATATTTCGATTTAAAATCTTGCCGCTGAACACGACTAGATTGTGAAAAGCAATTGGTTATATTAGACGGATGCATACGTGATAATACTGGAGAAACTCTTGAGGCTTTTGAAGTTGCTGCTGTCGGTGCAGTGTATAATCCTGATTCTAGATTAGATTTTGTTGGATCGTTTGTTAATATGGGTGTTTCAGAACAATGTTTATCAAGATATAAACCAGGTGAAAGCTCTGCGGTAGTAGGATCACGATGTCGCATACTTCCAATCATTAGAAAAACAAAAAAAATAGAAACTGCCCAGAAGAAAAACAGTAATCCGGAAGTTGAAAGCAATCGATTAGTCTATCAAGACTGAATGAAACAAATGCGTAACTGAACAGCTAAAATCCCAAGGTGAGTAAAATCCATATCACAGACGAATTGATATCTTTTTACAATCCAAAATATATTGTCCTCCCAGGAAAACCAATGTTGTTGACCGTTATTTCTAATGTCAATCTGACAAGCCCTATAAACAGTAAAGGACACCAGTGTTGTCTTTATCTGCCTGTCTGCCAACCATCTTACCTTCATTTTTTGATCCACAGTAGAGTGTGAGACGGACATGCTTGGCCAATAAGAAATGCAGAAAATAATCAATACTCTTATTTTATTGGTTATTGTGTAAGCTAAACAAGACTTCGCTGAAAATTATTTTCTTTGGTGGTGATGAGACTCAATGGAGTGAAATATGAGTCATCCTATCTTTTCGGCCTTGTGAAATCATGCTATATGCTTGACTGCATTTAAAATGCTGGGAAATGACGTCTAACTTATTTCTTAAGGGAGTAGAGTGAGACTGATAAAAGGTAGCCTTTGGAAAAGTGACCTGCAGTGGATAGAATTCGCTGTCCACCATTCATCCTCTTGACAAGTCCGTTAGACATGTCTACACATGCGATTCCCCGCCGCTATTCTTCTGGACCAATGAGTCCCAAATAGGATGAAAACCACGTCAATCTGGATTCCACTGCTAGCCACCGCCAAGCAAAATACCTGCATCCTAGTCTCCTTTGGAGTCAAACTACAAACGTCAGCACTAGGCCTCATTACTCAACTGAACTACATGCCTTATTGATTCAGTAATAAAGCTCTACGCCGCTTACGTGGATTTTAGTGTACCTACGGACATGGTCTATAGGCGGCTAGTCTGTGTCACTAATCCACTTATGATAGTGCCTCCAATGATTTCCACGGCACACTAAATGGAGTGAGAACTGTCTGTAATTGGCTACGAGGTCGCATTCAGAAACATCCAACAAAAGTTAGCTACGCTTTACGGTCACAAGTTGGGTATGTGGAGCTAAGGATTAGCTTTCTAGATTTTCTATTTAGGAATTCGGCTATAAAACATGAAGCTGTCTCATTTCCCCCACCTGGTCATCATAGTAAAACAGAGGAAACTGCACTGCAGTACACCAAGCCGTTATTGGACAACCCTACATTACACCGCTGCCATAGATGGCGTAATTCTGCAAAGGCCATGAAATAACTCTACGTTTGTTGTCAATATTGGTCAATTGAAAGGCGTATGAGTGACGTTTATAGACCTTGTGTTTCTGTGTCGAATTTCAGACTACAGGATAGCCTACTATCCTGGAATTTATCTAGCTACGGTAATCAAGGTGATATTCTGAACTTAAGTTCCGGATTCGATATCTCACGTTAGAAGACAGTGTCTGTGAAATGTACAAGTGCCCAACTAGGTACACTGCAACTATGTTTTTATCCTTGAAATCATAGAAACGATTTGTACCCCAGGATGAAGATGGTGATGATGGTTCGGTGTTCTCTGGGCCTCGGTATTTTGTTGTGAACGTTTCATCACCACCACAGCGAAGTTACTCCTGGTTTAACTTGGGACTCCTTAGCACTCATTGCACACCCACAATACAGTGCAGAGTCAAATCTGAGACTAGAGTCTCGTGACGAGAAGTTACCCTGCAATAGTTATGATGGTCTCGCTACACTGCGAATTGACAGAATTTGGAAACGGCAAACATTTGAATCCAAGCCCAGTGCCTGGGCGGTAGCGCGTTCACCGCTGATCTAGAAGTCTTTAATTTGATCCCTGATGAAGTTGTAGTTGGGCGTTGCTCAAGAGTTTCCAACCAATACGAAAGAGCCTTCTAATACTCCAAGGATTTCAACGATTCTTTGACTGATATCGATTTTCTGATGGATGCCCTATTGGAAATAATTCAATTCCGTAGAAGCCTCAAAATTCCTTAATAACATTTGAATTTCACACGATAAACTTTTCTGAGTGACACTTATACTCTGCTGAGTGGTTTGTGTAACAACGAGATGAATAGTTATTGGTTCCGTGTAGATGGAAACTTGTGAGTGTAATAGAATGTTCTAGAATAAGTGTATCAATGTCTCTATGCATAAATGCAATCATATATATATATATATATATATATATATATATATATATATATATATATATATATATATATATATATCAAGGACACAATGTGATTTGAAAGTATAGATTTATTGATTTTCTTTTTGTTTTAAACAAACGGTTAATACTGGCCATGTAAGCATATATTTTACAGTCTGTTATCATGTGTGAATCACACTATCATTGAATGAAATCGAACACATTCGTGACTTTTTTTCATTTTACCTGCTAGGTAGGTATGAGTAATACTAAGTAGAATTCAGTCAGACCGATAAATTGACACGGTGTTTCTGTTGGCCATACACAGAGATCAAGAAACGTGACGAAATATAAAAGTCTTCAACTTTTGATTCTTACCACCCCCTCTAAACCCTATTGTGGCTTTCAATTCGAGAACTGACTCGATTTCAGTGTTCAGACAATGAAACCTGAAGAATTTTGAATAACCGCTGGAAAATAAGTTCCACTTTGTGCACCACTGATTGTTTGAAATTAGATATCCATCGAATAAGATGGGTGGGAAGGTGAAACAGCTCATCAGGCCTATTTTAAGAAGGGTAGCATTTAAACCTACAAATTCACTGAGAAGTAAACTTTGTAGGTTTAAGGATCTTATTGATCTAATCAGGCAGAATAATTTGGTCTACCAAATCGCTTGCAGCGATTGCGAAGTCACGTACATAGGTCAAAGTAGTCAACCGGGGTCTGTCAATTAGGCTGTCCGAGCGCAAAGACCTAACTAGATCAAAATTGGTAGGTCCCAGTTAGAGAGACAAGGAATCTGGAGAAAAACGTGGCCACGGCTATGCATACAATTGGACACAACTAGGTAATAGGGTGGAACGAAGTGACAGTTCTTAAAACTAAGTAGGGTGGGGAAGAGATTGATAACTAACACACTTTTTTATCGAACTAACACCTAATACATGCGACAGGAATGACGCAGCGCTTGTTCAGGATATCAGGAGAATTCTACTACCCTTATAGTCAAAAAGGAGACGTGGGAATTAGAATTGTGAAAACCATGTCTAAAATTGGTGGTTATTTTGATATAAACCTACGATGACCTTCATCATAGGCGAAGCCAAGTGAGTTAGTTAGCAAGAAAGAAAGACTTATGTCATTTGAATTATTGATTGTGTACGTTGTAATTTTTCTTTTCAAATCGAAAGTAAAGTAATGCGATCATGATGATATCTGGTAATGTCCAATCTCATGTCAGTGTGCACGATAAGCTAGGCATAATAATGCATCGTACTTGATAACCGGTCGTTGGAGAAGCTTGGCAGAAGGCTTTTCATTAAAGTAGTGCCTACAACCTACACTAATCATCCTTCTTGTCATAGGCGCTACAAGCGGTCGCTTTAGGCACATTGTACTGTTTACAGAGAATGGATGATATCTAGCAGTGTAAACAAGGACATGCGTTTCACCATAGTTTACACTTGTCAGCCAGATGTACGTACCTCTCAATGAATCAGATGCTTTATTCTTCATATAGAAATTAAATTAAACTACTGGTTATATCCGAGTATGCCTACAGTAATCTATACGCTGATAGCGTCCGACCAATTCGGTTTAAACCAATCGACAGTGTGAGGCAACAATTCATAATATCATACCAACTGAGTGCTTCCTGTCGATTTACAGGAACCATTCTAAACCAGGTATAACCAACAACTGCACTTAGAAACTTTGGTCTCAATCAAACTCACATATATCGTATATATCAGACCAACGTTGTGAAATCCATTTTCTTCGGGGCAATTTTCAAAACATAACATGGTTGAGAGTCAAGCACTGTTAGATAAATGACTTGCACAGTCTGAGCTAGAAATAGAGAGAAAAGTGAATCACTAGCCTGACTCACTAATGAAAATACTTTTTTTAAAAACGCGATCATCAGAATACTACAACTTCTTTTTGAGGGAGTTGTGGAGATTTGGAAATATTTCAAGTTGTTATTCATCATAGACTGACATCAGTTGGAGGAACAAAGGAAACCTGGGAGCACTGGACAGCTGTTTCGTCCTAGTATAGGACTCCTCAGCAGCGCACACCCACGACCCCACCAGCAGGGATCGAAATTGGAGCATTGGATTCTGACCCAGTGGCTCAATGGTAACGCGCTGGCTGCGGAACCTGAAGGTCGCGGGTTCGATCCCTGCTGGTGGGGTCGTGGTTGCGCACTGCTGAGGAGTCTCATACTAGGACGAAACAGCTGTCCAGTGCTCCCAGGTTTCCTTTGTTCCTCCAACTGATGTCAGTCTACGATGAATAACAACTACTTCTTGTTGTGAATGCGTAAGACAAGAGTGTGTGTGTGTGTGTGTGTGGCGGGATGTCATTACAACACTTTCACCAGACTTGTCTGTGTATTGATGTCTGAAAACCATGATAATTAATGTAAATAAATATAACTGGTGAACTTTTAAACCTAGTTCTCTCTCTCTCTCTCTCTCTCTAACATTAAGCTTCACCCCAATTTTGAACAGTATTACTATTTAGAGCATAAATTACTGTATTTAAATTCAGTAATCAATAAAACTTATTGATTTTATTTAAAATTTGAAATTGGGAAAATAGATGGGTATATTAACTGCATGTTAAGCTTTATTTAAAATTCAAGCCGACAAATAACATTCCCATGTAATTCAACATCAGAGTGGTCAAGGTTATCTAAACTAGCTTAATTATTAACCCATTACAAGATTCGGTTATCGATTTTAGATTGAGATGAGGATTTGTGTGTGTGTGTGTACATATATATATATATATATATATATGTGTGTGTGTGTGTGTGTGTGTGTGTGTGTGTGTGTGTGTGTGTGTGTAGCTAATGCGTATGTCAACAGTCAGCTGCCCGATAGCCATTCTCTGAACTCCTTTCTCTTGGGATTAGGGAAGAGTTTGAGTATGTCGGGTATCTCTGAATGTGTAAGTTCACCAACAATACACCTCGTCAAAATCTACTGACTTAAAAGTACAGAATTTTATGACTGAAGTGTATCGATCAGGTTTATACCGTAGCCACCAGTTCAGCAGTAATGCCATTGCTGTTTATTTTGTTCAACGTTAAGTGGGTGAAAGCATTCGTCAAGAAGTCAATCGTCGACTGTCTAACAACACCCTTCATCGTTAAATATGTTCAGTTCCTTGTCACATTAACGAAATGGTATGTCCCTCCCCTCTTGTATGGAGCTAAACTTGAGGAATGTGGAGCATAAAGTAGTTCTGAAATAATAGCTCGCTAGGTCTATGGAAAGATCAGATGCATAACTGGTTCTCCCCCACATAATCACTGATTCACATCTTTGTCAATTAGTACCTCAGAGTCTGTTTCATCCGCTAATTACACCGTAAACAGCAGACTGACACTCTTCCGTACAATTTCAAACGGAAAGTGAATGATTTACAGACTTGCTGACCTGACCACGCTAATGCTTCATTCAACATCTGTTCTACCCAGTCAGTAGGTGGATTTTCTCAAGATGAGTAGGTGGTAGGAAGGGGGTGGCAAATGAAGCGTATCTGTTATTACAAGCAAACAGATTGCTGTCGAGGATTTTGTCCAAGACTAATACAGTTTGAACTGCATACTATGAATCGTCATGTTGCAATACTCATGAACTAGTTCTCTTCATGGTCCATCTTCAAGGGGTCTAAATGAAAAAAGTTGGGCAGTAATGTATTTAGTCTTTGCCGAACATCAGTCAAACTATCAATAAACTCGTACAAGATTCCTCAACTTTCATTTATCAGAAACCGAATTGATGAATCATCAGAAGTAGTTGGTAAAATTTGCAGTCGTCAGCAGTTCTATTCAGAACTCTGTTCAGTTTAAATCACTAATATTTTACTCAAAGTCCTCCTTAGTATGGATGGCACAGAGTGTTCAGTCCCTTTTATATCACTAAAGTCGGCTGTATGTCACACTCATCGCTGTATTAACATCAGCCTCCTCCCGCTGTGGTTCGACGGTAGCACCTAGGCATTCCAGCCCTTCCTGCCTTCATGGTTAGCAAACAATTGACCAGGTTCAGGAGTCAGTTGGTAATTGAGTTACATTAACTGATGTCAAGTCCATCTAGTCAGTGAACTACGCTTATCGATCCTTTGGATCCTCATATCTGGGCAATATCTTCAGTAACGTGTTCTACAGTCACTTTGATTGTCATTGACAACTTTGAATTTGTCTCGAATCCACAAATCAGCAGACCACATGTTTCATCTTATCAACAAACCACTAGGTTATGGTAATTTGGTTGGTTGGGGCTAGCAGAGGAATCCAGGACGGGCGTTTCGTCCTATTTGGGACTCGTTGGCTGGACGTACCTACACCTCAGTGAGTGATGTTGTTCCCACCGAGACTCGAATCTTGTACTCATCACAGTGAAGCTGTTCAGCTTTTTACAATAGTTTGTTTTGTCCTGCTTAAGAGACATGGTAACACACAGATTAAGGCGTGATTGGCCAAAGAAAAGAATGACTTTAATGCCCATCCTGGCAATTAACATTCAGGCAATATTATAGGAGCCCATATGTCAGTACAGGTCGAACAATTCGATCCAATGGAACAACGGATAATTGCAAGTATATCAGTGGTATATAGTAAAAACCACTGTGTTGATAAACATTAGCACCACTTTGACCTTTGACCTTATTTGACCCACAGGATGAATTTTATGGTTTTCATTTTTAAGGTAAATATCTATTTTTATCGATCCATGAAATCGACTGAAGCTGTAATTTTTTGATTGCAAAATAAATATTTTCAAATCATATTGAAATCTACAATTGACTGGGCGTTCTTTAAACATCTTTCAATCAATATAATGATCGGTTTCGCGTAGTAGACTAATTATCAATTTTTTAAATCAAATGTGTAGACGGTATTCAACTGCTTACTTATTTTAACAATTAAGTTTTTTTCAAAAATTGAATGGTTATAAAAGAGAAGTGCCTAGATATACTAACT